TTAGTTGTTTCTGTCTGAATTTTTTTTAAATTGTCTTGGAGGACCTCTTTTTTTAACGCCATTCAACCAAGTTTTGCCCTTGAATCCTGACTCTTTTAAGTCGTATGCTTATGCAGCTGATTGATTTTGGTGACATTCTCGTCAGAGCCAGATGACCGAACCACTTGATCCTTTGGTGCTCTGTGTGTTCCTTAACCTGTGTTATCCCTGCTTCATTTCGAATAGTTTCCTTGTGACTTTAGTTACGTTTCTGAGGGATGTATTTTCATCTCAAGGCCAATGATCTTCCTTTTTTTTGTACGGTGTTTACCCGCAATGTCTACTATTGGTAATTGGTAAGTCAGTGTTGAAAAGAATTTGCAGTTTATAAGTTGTCTTTTTACTCTCGTTGGTACAAGGTCTGTCCCGATATGTAGGTTTGACGTTTTGGCTGACGATTGTTAGAGTAAAGACAAGCACATCAACACAATAATGGCCATTTTGTGCTGGGAAAAAATAAGATAGACAGAAAGAAAACAGCAGTAGGAGAGTAAAGAAGTAGGACCTACCAGTGGCGTCCTCCAACCACCCGCTGAAGTTGGCTTCCCAGTTATGTAAAATCAACAATTATTTTGCAGACATGGACGTTTTGTGCATACCTACTGAAACAAATTCTCAGTTCAATATATATGATTTTTAGAACGTTGGTGACAGTGCGCTTATTCACCCAGTGAAGCAAGCGGTCAAATGTTGTGACCATGTCCGCTTCGGTGAGTCTTCTGCGCAGCATTTTGCTTCGTCGAGCACAATTTCTTCAAATCGCTGCCCCCTTCTTGTTCATTCTTTGATTTTGGAGATGAAATGAAAGTTGTGGGTGTTAGTCTCTGGAGAATAGCGCAGTGAGGATGTTCAATGATTTCCCACTGCCAAGATTCCAGGAGATCTGTGGCCTTTCGTCGAGCAGTGTGCACAAGCACGTTGTCATGATGGAAGACAGCATCTTGCTCAAGCAGACCCGGCCGCATTCTTTTGACTTCTGGTCTCAACGTTATTTGAAGAACTAGATCTATCTTGCACAAGTTAGCATAGACAACTGTGCCAACGGGAACCAGCCACTTTAAAGCCACACCTTTGTGATCGAAAAAACATGACGTGCATCATTTCCAAAACACTTTGCTTGCGTCAAGCTTTCTGGGGTCGTGGTACTCCCGGGTTCCTCCATTCTGTTGACCGTCTTTTCAGATCGAGATCCCATGAATAAACCCGTGTTTCATACCTGTTGCGATTCTTCTTCTAAAAAAATGCCCCTTAATTCCGGTCCAATAAATTATATCAAATCACTCACTCTCTACAGGATATTTATTTCAGATTAGAAACTACAGGTGTGATTATTCTTTTTCACTTTTGGGAGGGGGGTGGGGGGGGGGAAACAAACCTCCAGCAGTTAGACCTACAATTATCATGTACTTATTGTCGAGTAAAGATGGATAGTTTAATTTACCTGAACCTTTCGATGTTTGCCGACGAAGAAAGCACGTGCACGTAGATCGACAATTTTGCCTCCATGCGCCGTTAAAAACTTTCGGCTTTGTCTACCGTGTTAATTGTTTCATAAACATATCTTCAAAGCTCGTCTCGGACAAAGAAACACGTTTCTTCCATCATTACATTATTGAGCGTATTTTTAAAGAGCGTATCGCCACCCCACCCCTCTCAAGGTATACCCACATTTTGTTTTGATGTTCACACTTTAAAGACCCACCCCGCGGTTTTCGACCGTCGATAAAATTTGTTCCATGACTTGTCATTATTTACCTTTCAGCGTGTGTTCAATACAACAATTATTTTCCCCCTACACTAAACTAACAAGACATAGCGACTCAATTGAACACCACGAGCACAGAACGACTATTGAGTCTGTAATGACTTATAATAATAATTGTTTGGCATCGTTCAGAGAATTACTTTAATCACCATTGTGGTGGGAGTTTGCTGGGGATAAAGAGGAGCACATCAACACACTCACGGCCACGTACTTCAGACAGAAAGACAGAAAACAAAACAGTGGTTCGTGGACACACGTCACGGAGAGCGGACACCGGCTTCTATGAATGTGATGTAGCGGTTTGGCTCTCACTGTCGCACACTGAAGACTTGAGGTCGATTCCCGTGTGGGAGGGGAGGGATTTTTTAAATTCTTGTTGAGTTTTTTGTTGTTATTTTTTTTTCTTCATCGACCTTAGTCTTTCTGCTAGGACGCTGTGTCCTCAACTATGGTTGACTCTGACACTACTGACAGGCAGGGTAGAAGCTCGTCTCCTAAATGATATACACTGTGTCGATAGCGATGGGAAGGTAAAATTACCTTTAAAAAAATCGATGTTTGAAACAGATTTAGTGCGCTGCAAAAAATAAACCGCACTTCTAGAAAGCAGCAACTATTAGTGGTAGGAAAGAGTATGATTGGCAGACACAAAGAACAGGGGGGAGAGTAAAGGTAACACTTGTTTGTTTGTTCTTTTCTTCAGGAAGTAGGCCTACGAGCCAATCCGAAAAAAAACTGTACACATTTTTGGGGGGTTAACATTTTTGTCCACACTGCATTTGGGGGAAAGGGCAACATAATAAGACAAACAGAAACAGCAGATGGATAGCGAAGAGGGAAGACCTGCAGTAACGACAAACAGGGAAACAGCGAAGGAGTAAAACCTGCAGGAACGACAGAAGGACGTGAAGGAGTAAGACTTGCTCGTGGACATCTCCAACCACAAACATACAGTTTCACGATCACCCGTCTATCGTAGAGGCCGTTGTATAACAAACATTACAGGCTTGAGAATCGGGCATACAAGCCCTATCGTTGTGCAGCAGACAGGACATGCTTGAGAAACGGACATGCAAGCCCCATCAATGTATAATTTTTTGTATAGCAAACAAAAATGCTTGACAACCGGACACACAAGCTCTAACCGAACTAAAAAAGGGCCCGCACAACGAAAAAAGAACACAGACTTTTGTCATAATAGTAGAATATAATAATCTATACATATATTTGTGAAAGTTCGTCACTTTGGCCGCCTAAAACTTCGGAACCACTTAA